TTATCTTAAAGTGTGACTCGTCAAAATTCATAGAGATAATGTGAATGTGGGATTATTACCTCAAACACATTGAGTATGAAATAATTCCATAGTGATATATAGTTTATTTCAAATATTCAGTCAATGCTCTACCTTATATATGAACACATGCGTCAAGATTCTGCTCTCACTGGATGCTTATGAAATTATGTTTCTTTGAAAGATCTCCAAAATCAGTCTGTTGTATTCAGTCAGTGTTTTTCTGAGATGAGTGAAGGGTTTGATTGCCCTCGAGTTCAAGTGTCTCGCACACAATACCTTCATCATCATCATCATCAGTCTGGCATTCAACACCTTCATCTCTCAGACAGTGAAAGATTAAATGCTTTAATGAGGCATAACTGTGTATTGAAACCTAGAGTTTGCTGTCTACAGATATATCACACGAACAGCACTCTTCATGTCCCTCACACAACTGATTCAGTTCAGTTTGATGCTAATGCAATGATAAATAATAATTAATAATAATTCATTACATTTATATAGCGCTTTTCTCGGCACTCAAAGCGCAATGATTCACTAACAAGCACTAAAAACACACAAATATTACTCAACAATATATGTCCTGAGTTTTAATACAAAAATAAAAAAATAAAAAAATAATAAAATAAAATATGATTAAATTAAATATTATTAAATTAAATTACATATTATTAAATAAAATATTATTAAATTAAATTAAATTATTAAATAAAATTAAATAAAATAAAATTAAAAATAAAATAAAATAAAATTAAATTAAATTAAATTAAATTAAATTAAATTAAATTAAATTAAATTAAATTAAATTAAATTAAATTAAATTAAATTAAATTAAATTAAAAATTAAATTAAAAATTAAATTAAAATACATTAAATTAAAATACATTTCACTTTAGGTTTTGGAATGGAAAAGATAAACACACACCACAGACTTCTACCATTTCATATAAAGCTAATTATATTTATTATACACTAATCCTAAACCTAAAAGAATGATAGGTAATAAATCATCTCACAAACGCCTTCTCTGAGAACCTCGAATGCCCTTCCCTCTCATCTCTCTCTCTCTCTCTCTCTCCCTGTGTCACTCGTCTCAAGAGACGCCACAGTTCTTCCTGTCTGACGAGCTCTGATTAGATTTCAATCCCAAACCCTTCACAAAAGCCTTAGCAGTGTGTGTGTGTGTGTGTGTAGGGGTCTCTCTCAGCTGATATCTCTCCGTGAGACAGCGTGTGTTGAAGTGCCCATCAAACACAGAGTCAGTGTGTGAATCCTCTTCCTCAGGATGGAAATGAAACATGTTTATCTTGCAGGAGAGTCTGTACGTAATAGAGTTTGGAGAGACGTATATGTGTGTGTCTCTATATTTATTCATGTGTGTTTATGGAAAAGGTAAAGCTTTTACCCTGATATATGAATTTTAAGGGGAATAAACATAGAAAATGTTAGTTTTCTTGCTCTTTTTAAATTAAAACTCTCAAGAGACTCTTTTTAAAAACAGCTTGTTCAGATGCATTCGTGATCAAATCAAAATCATGAGCTCATTAACAAATGAAATATAATAGTATATATAATGTTAACTGTCAATTTCTACCACACAAAATTTTCTGTGTAGTGTGTATATCAAAATTATCGATTTTTCTTTTATGTCAAAAATCATCAGGATATTAAGTACAGATCATGTTCCATTAAGATATTTAGTCAATTTCCTACCCTAAATATCTAAAACATTTATTTATTTGAGTGAAAGCAGCACAATCACCAACACAAATGAACAACTTTAAAGGCGATTTTCTCAATGTTTTGATTTTCTTGCAACCTCAGATTCCAGATATAATAGTTGTATCTCGGCCGAATATTGTCCTATCCTAACAAAACACATCAATGGAAAGCTTATTTACTCAGCTTTCGTGATATATGCATCTCAATTTAAAAGAAATTGAACTATGTGATTTTGTGGTCCATATATATAATTTAACTGTATGACACTTCAGAGATAAAAACGCTGAAAAAAATGCACTGATGCTTGTCATGGTCGCTTGCCATAGTTATTAAAGAGATATTGCCTGGTTCAGTCACAGTGTAATGGTCAGAGAGAAGGAAAATGCTCAAGTAAACTAAATCACAGCTGTTTTTAGAGCGACACACACAAGTCGTCTTACACTACAAAAGTTCCTCAACAGTGTGGATTAAAATGTCTTTAAAACAGCTGAACCGAGAAGGTCTGTGCAATAACACTCTTGACCTGTGTGTGTTTGTGTGTGTTACCTTGCTACAGGGCATGATCCAGTATGCGATGGCGAGGAAAGGCAATCCCACAGTGACGCCCAGAACCGTCAGACACTTGACACCGATGGACTGCTGCCGCAGACCCGACAGGTTCTCGTACCAGATCGTCAGCAGCTGCTGTTGACAGTTCGGATGAGCCACAAACTGACACACGGAGAAAACAGCGGGATGACAAATCACATTACAGCAGGAAAACACATTTTGTGCACTTATTTAGAAGAATATCAGTAACCAGACAGTTTCTGGACTCATTGACTTCCATAGTAGGAAAATAAATATACTATGGCAGTCAATGAGACCAGAAACTGTCTGGTTACTGATATTCTTCTAAATATCAGAAAATCGTCTGAATGGATTCGAAAACGGTAAAACCCAAATGTTTGATTTTTTTTTTTTTTTTTTATGTTTGATTTTTGACTTAAATCACACTGCACTATGTTGGTTTGTATATATGTTTGACTGTTTAATAAAAATTAAATAAAAATAAAAATAAAAAAAAATAAAAACAAATGTTTAACTCTGGGGGAGTTGTAAAATGAGCCTATTTCCAAAAAAAAAAAAAAATAAAAAAAAAAAAAGGTGGAGACAGACATTGGATAGTATTAGTAAAACTTAAAATAAAACATGCTATTATATTGATATCATTTTTTTATTTATTTTTTGTAATTAGATAAATGTTCTTGTTTACAGTTAGTAGTGTGTACAGTATGTGGGTGGGTTTTTTTTTTCATATTATGTAAATTCTGACCAAGGTAGCCTAAATCTATAAGAGCTGATAATAAATCAGTAAAGTAAACTTTAATAAATTTATATATATATATATATATATATATATATATGTGTGTGTGTGTTTTTGAAATAATCTCTTATGTTCATCAATACTGAATTTCTTTAACGAAATATACAGTATATATTGTGAAATATTATTACAGTTTAAAATTACTGTTTTTTTATGTGAATATATCGTAAAATGTAATTTATTCCAACCCGATCTCACGACCAAGTCGTACGAATTCGACGAATGATTAAAAAGTGGCTAATTCGTAACAATTCATACGACCTCACTCGTACGAATTAATACGATTTTGCTAAATCGTACATATTTTACGAATTGGCCAATTCGTATGAATTCGTACGAATGACCTACCCCTTACCCCGCCCCTAAACTTAACCATCACGTGGGTTTAGACAAATCGTACGAATTAGTACGAGTGAGGTCGTACGAATTAGTACGAATTAGCCACTTTTTAATCATGCGTCGAATTCGTACGAATTGGTCGTGAGATAGTGTTGTTTATTCCTGTGATCAAAGCTGTATTTTCAGCATCATTACTCCAGTCTTCAGTGTCACATGATCCTTCAGAAATCTAATCATTGTAAGTGTGTGTGATGCAGTTTTCCTGACTCCTGACTGGTGTGGGGCTGTAGCTCTATTAGACAGGTAAATGTGTGTGTGTCTTTACAGAAGTTAACACTAGCATTGTGAATCCCTCAGAGAAACAGATCATGACGCTGATTTAAGGTGAGCCAGCGGCTGTGTGTGATCCAGAGCTGGAGCCGGCTAAAGCTGACAGTGTGTGTGTGTAAAATTTACCATTTTGCCAGGTTTGTTGGTGCGTTAAGAGTTTAGGAAATGTGTTAAAAGTACACTCTAAAAAAGCTTGGTTGTTTTAACCCAACTGTGGGTCAAATATGGACAAAGCCAAACGTTGAGTTAAAAATGTAATTAAAAAATTTAACCCAATGGTTGGGTTTGTCCATATTTGACCCAAAACAACCATGCAATTTTTAGTGTATTGAAAAAAAAAATGTCATAGCGATTGTAAAGAACTGTAAATTCTGACAGACAGAATGATGGTAATTAGTGTGTGTGTGTGTAAGTGTGTGTGTCCCTGAGTGACTCTGAGATCATCTGATCCTTGTACCTGGTTGCCATAGCAACAGCATCCCTTCTGATTGCTTTAATTGAAATTGGTCTCTCACTCGTCTGAATAAACAGCATGTTTATTTTCCAGCAACAAAAGGCACCAATTTGTATTTATGCATAATTTATATGGTAACACTTCACACTAAAGATCATTAGTTAACATTAATGTATTAACCATTTGTTGCTGTTTTTTGTTCGTCTTTGTTAACGTTGGTTAATACAAATCCAGCTGTTCATTGTTTGTTCAAATTAGTTCACAGTGCATTAACTAATGCTAGAGTATTTGTAAATAAATGTTGAAATTAACATTAACAAAGATTGACAAATGCTGAAGTATTGTTACTCTAATGTAAAGTAGTTAACTAATGAACCTTTGTAAAGTGTTGCCATTTATATTTTAATATGCATATTTTTTATATGCATAATTTTACAAATTTGAATGTGAATGGGTTTTTATAAGCACAATTATTTTATAATGGGTAAAGAGTTTTTGATTAATTGATTCTCAGGTAATTTGTCTGCCATCAATTCATCCTGCGAATACACGTGGAAGCCTTAATGAAAAGTGATATTGTTCTCAGTAATAATATGGATATGTTGTATTCCAGATTTATGATCAACAAAGTGCAACCAGTCATTTGTACACTAAGGGTGTATTCACACCAGGAAAGTCCGATAGTTCACTTGCTTTGGTCCGGACCAAATAAATTATTATTATTATTATTTTTTTTTTTGGTACGGTTCGCTTTCACACTGCTCTTTTTGCAAGTGAACCAAAATTTGTAAACCAAACCACACGTGTGCTAAGGTCGTCCATTCATTGGACAAGGATTCTCAAGGGAAATCAGGAAGTGCAAAAAAGGCTCAGCATGGAGATATTTCCATATATTTCATACTGCAATATTTGTTCTTTTACTAATTTTGTGTTAATTCTGCACAAACGCAATATGAAGAAACTAATGAGTATCATATGATACAATGTCATCTAGATACGAAGTTGTAATTCGGATTTTGAGAAGACGACGAGTGTAACGTTTGAGTGGCTCTATAAACGCGGGGAAATACGACAACTCTCGTCTCTCGTGCATCTTTTCATTCGACCACCTTCTGGTTTTTTTTTATCTCTGGGCAACATCTCAACTTTGCGTTACAAGTGGCACTGCACAGAGGACGGAGAAGGTATAAAGTTTTCATTCATAGAGAGGGGCATATGTTCACTCATTCAAATAATGAGATTCTTATTGTGTACTAAGTGCTGTCAATGTTAACACCAAACAAGGCAGCTGTGAATACACCCTAACTAAATAAGTCAAGCAGTGTCATCTGGCAAGCTTAATCAACAGTACACACACTTTAAACTGTATTGTCAACATTATAGTGTACTCTACTCAATACTGGATTCTTCAACTGATGCCCTCATCAAGGCATTCGAGTGCTCTAATCTCATAAATATGATGACTGCAATGTTCCCCGAAGGCTTTATGTAATGAAAGGGTCTGTCATCGTCACACGTCTTCAGTCATTAAAACTATTAAGATTTAAATCACAGTCTGAAATGATTAAGATCCAGTCACCTGTCCTGTCCTGTAATGAGAGTTGTTCTCAGAGGGTTTGGATTGAGCTGAGGGCCACAGGACTAATGATCTCACAATATCTGCTTAACAAGGTCGTGAGACTATAAACCCACAGCAGCACAGGTCATCAACTGACTCCACAGCGACTTTATGCAATAAAAACAGACTGCAGAGGAACATTAAACACTCTGGGGTTCTGTATATGAAGCACAGGGTTCTTTACTCAACTCCATTTATGTTAAAAAAAGGTTCTATAATCACTTTTGGCACAAAAGTTCTTTATAGGCTGTTATTCATTCATATATTACATTATTCTGCAACAGTTTGTAGTTGTAATTAAATTATTGTTTATTAAACTGTTAATATCACATTTTACTCATGTTGGTTTTTGGAGGAGAAAAACTGAAATGGCACTCTTCGTGTGATATTGATTAACCACATAAAATTATATAAATATAGACATTTTCTAACCCCCATATCTTGAATTTTGAGATTCATAAATACATTTTAGAGTCTTGATGTTTGTCAATAATATGAAATATTTAATCCGGAAAGGACAAAACAAATGATAATGAATGAACTCAAAAGGTTCCATATAGAACATTTTTCCTGGTTACACAGAACTCTAAAGGGGGGGTTCTTATTATTGAACCCTTAAAAAGAGTTCTGTATAGAACCTTTTCGGGGTTCCAAATACGTAGCGCTGATAGAACCTTTTCTTCTAAGAGTTCTAATGAGAATTTTCTCATTCCTGTAAAGCAAAATAAATTACTTTTTTGTGAAAGTATTTGTTGTGTGTTTTTGTCATTTTTATTAGTTGATATTTTAGTCGAATTGCACTGTAAGCCTTAAAAACAATATATTGAAACACCGGTTTATCCAGCCATTAGAAAAATATCAGTCTATGCATTTTACATTTAATATGAGGGAAATACGGACGTGACACTAAAAAAAAAACTTTTAGGTGGCAAAATTACAAAAAGTAGCAGTATACAAAAAGTATATAAAATATTAATTTTGTCTTATTTTTCGTGTACGCATTTATGAGGGGGAAACAATGTCACGTGACAGTTCCCCGTTACGTTCAATAAAAAAAAAAATATTAAAAATGTGTTTCTACTCCTTGCTGACCTGTGTCTCATGTTTTAAACCACGAGATCCACTTTCTTTAATGAGCAGCAGACCAGAAGACGTTCATTTTCTATGTAGAAGAGAACAGGAACTGGCTCTGGAGATCTAATTTGAGCTTTGGATGCATTGAAATATTTAAACTTCTGTGGCTAAAGTTTAAACCATATGCAACGTGATGTATTCTAACCAAAACTATGAGCACAAGGTGCATGACAATTACCAGTATTTTTCATAATTATTGATCATTAATTGCAAATATTATTGTTTGGTTTTCATCTTCATGAGAGTTTGTTAATGTGGGTTCACCAAAAATGATTCATAAATGCGTTGTAGTCTCACCTTCTTGACCTCATATTTGATGGCGAGTTTGATGCGGCTCAGACAGGGTCTCAGTTCTGTGGGAGGGTTCTGGTCCACGTCACCGTTCAGGATGGCCTCCACCTCCTCTGTGTCCCGGCAAAGGTCCAGAACACCCACCACAAAGTCCTTACACTGCATAGACAACTTCCTGTAGTCGTTCTGAGAGAGAGAGAGAGAGAGAGAGAGAGAGACATTAGCAGGAATCAAATCATGTTCCTGTTAATTCCTATGAGAGAAAAAAATCAAAAGAAATATCCAGTAGATCTTTTTTCCCTCTAGTTGAATAAAAGTCACTAAACTGTATTGTAAATTAAAATCACATTCCTGTGAAGCACAAAAATTATTAATTTATAATATATTTATTTAGTATTATAAGTATGTATACATCATAGTATTTGGTGTACTGCTTTTAGTTGGGTATTGCAAATTTAAATAAATAAATAAACATGTTCTTTTATAATGATAAAGAAAAATAAAAAGTTTGCATGTGGTTTTTAAACTTTAAATAAAGCTAATGATCAAGTTTTTTTCCCAATCCAGAAAATTCTCAGTCCTGTAAAACACTTGTTTTTAATACAGTAATAAAAATAATTAACTGAATAATCTATTGACTAATTTAATAATTAATATATACATACACTACTTTAATACTTTTATATATAACTACTTTTAATTAAGAATAATTTTTGATATTTAGATTTATATTCATTACTATACACGATTTATTTTATTTATTTATTTTTTTTTGCATTATAATAATTATGTGCTGAGTGATTCAGCCATATCTTCATGAGATTCATCCATAACTGATTTTGCAAGATATATTAAAGCAAACTTTTTTTTGAATTATTTCTCTTTTTTAAGTAAAAACTTATGTAATTACCAAGCCTGGTTAAATTCTCAGTTGTTAATCTAAATTTGCCGGAAGTTGTCTGGTAATTAACCCCTTACACTTAGAAATACCTCATCTGTGGTAACATTCAAGACCCAGTTAAAAACATATCTATTTAACATGTATTCTGTTTAATGCTACCGTATGTATCCTATGTGTGTGTGTTCTTCTTTTGATGGACCAGCAGCGGAGAACAGACCAACACAACACACTGACAGCTCAGAAAGCATCACGTCGACAGACTTTCACATCATCTTCAGTCTGAGGAACTTTCAATCCGTGTCAGTGTTCCTTCACCGGAACCGAGAGCGTTTGATTCCTGTGTGTGTTCAGACTGATCTCAGAGATAACCAGCAATCTGTCCGTCTCCGGGAAGAGTCCCTTCATCCGCGTGTGTCGGCCTGAGGAATCATCAAGGTCTGTCCGGATAAACTCTGACGTTCCACGGTTTGGGCTCGAGAACACTTGAGATATTCTGCAATCTGTCTAACATGCTGACTTGATGACACACACACACTGCCTTTCAAAGGTCTGGGGTCGGTAAGATTGTTTTGTTGAACGAAATGAACACTTTTATCCATCAAGGACGCATCAAGTTAATTAACACGGACATTAAAGACATTTATAATTTTATAAAAGATTTATGTTTCAAATAAATGCTGTTCGCTTTTGAACTGGAATCTTGAACATAAATGAATTTCCACAATATTAAACAGCACAACTGCTTTGAATATTTATAACAATAATCATAAATGCTTATTGAGCATCAAATCCTCATATTAGAATGATTTCTGAAGGATCATGTGACACTAAAGACTGGAGTAATGATGCTGAAAATACAGCTTTGATATCAGAAATAAATGACATTTTACGATATATTCACATAGAAAACAGACGTTTTTAATATTTCACTATACAGTTTTTACTGTATTTCTGATCAAATAAATGCAGTCTCGGTGAGCAAAAATAAAGTGTTTCTAAAAGTGATGTTGCTTTCCGAGATATGTCACAAATTAGTTCATAATGCAAAGTGAGCTGTAAAAACCATGTATTAACCAATCATATATAATAAATACCATAACTGAAACTCTTCTACATTGTGAAATAAGCTAATGACGTCTGCCAGTGATATCTTCGTCTCGAAATATCAGCATCAAATACACTATATTATGATTCTATGCATTTATAAAATATTTCAAAACTGATCAAGGATGTAAAATGCTCACTTCACAGTCATTTCTAAAGCAGATGTTTAAGATCATCCACCACTCTGAATGGTTGACAAACGTTGTCATCATAGCTGGGAAGTATTTACAGCTCATATCACTTCTGTGCTGTTTATGAATCATTACAAAGTCAAAAGGCACACAGTCACAAAACAACAGAAATGCAGAAGGACTCTGGATAAAAATGAACAGACACTGATATATATATATATATATATATATATATAAAGCCAAACACAGTGTTTTGTAACAGTGTGTGAAGTCCGTTCATTTAAAACTTTGCAACAATTCATAAACAATTCAAAACACAAAGTAACAAAGCAGAAAATGACTCTGTTTTTTTTTTTTTTTTAAAAATGCTTAAAAATGACAAATCATTTCAGTAAAAGGTGAACGTGAAAGCCGGACACCCAAAAAACGCTCTAAAGCGGCTCGCGAGACACTGTTGATAGATATTATCGGCCGATATTAGGCATTTTCCAAAATATCGGTATCGGCAGTTATAATGGCCGATAAATGAATATTTCAAAAAGAACAGAAAAAAAAATGGATGAAACACGCTTGAACCATGTCATGAGTGTTGGAGTTGTATGGTTTGTCCACCAGAGGGCACTCTACACTCGTTGAGTTGGTCACGAGACATACATTGCTTGAATAGCAATTAAAAGAACATCCGCATCAGTTCTCTTAACTCAAATAAGCATGACAAAATTTGTGACTATCATGTCCAGTTTAAAAAATAAATAAATAAATAAAATATCGGCCGATATATCGGAATATCGGATTTTAAAACCCAAAAATATTTGTATCGGTATCGGCCTTCAAAATACACAGTACACAGATCCTGAATCCATACACGAGAGCAGTTCGACACACAATACCATTTAAGGAACAAAAATCGGAGATAAAGCTTCTTATGCAATGAAACAAATAAAAATGAATGTGGAGCCAATGTACAACCAGCTTCAGATTAATGAACAATTTTTTCCCTGAAATACTTAAAAAGAGGAAAAAAAGAGGAGTTTGAGACCATTTTTCTTCCTTTGATTTGTTTAGACCGCTCTTTCTTATAATAGCTATGATGATGGATATGAAAATGTCAAATGATGAAAACGATCCCCTGAGTCCGACCTGCCCGAGGCGTGTGTGTGTGTGTGAGTTTCATGACTGATAGCCAGGTGATCTCAACAGATTTGCCCTTTTCACTGCTGTGTGTGAACACATCCGTCATTCTGAGAGATGAGAGAGCCAACCAACACACATGAATACTGTATCGCACACACACACTGACACTCTGAAGTCCTCAGATCACATTATAGGAATATTTCAGGTCAGGCGCTGCAGTTAAGCTCTAATGACATTATCTGTGACATGTTGTCGATTTCCACAGTAAATCACTTTGACTCTTTCACAGTGATACACTCATAGTGACGCTGTGGGGCAAAACACCGCACCAGAATGTGTTCGCAAACATTGCAGTTTGCAGAAACTTACATTTACTCTAAAAAATTCTGGGTTGTTTTAACCTAACTTTGGGTCAAATATGGACAAACCCAGCCATTGGGTTAAAATTTTTAATTACATTTTTAACCCAACGTTTGGGTTTGTCCATATTTGACCCAAAGCTGGGTTAAAACAACCCAGCATTTTGTGAAAAATTAGGTCTCTTGAACACGATGGATGGAAACTATGCTTTAAGGGTTAGTTCATAAGGGAGAGTAATTAATTACTGACACAATTTTCATTTTGGGGTGAACTATCCCTTAAATCGCAAATGTTTTAAGCGCAATTCAAATTATTGTGCATAACTTTGTATGGAAACGACATTAATATCACTGCACATATTTAATTCATAACTTTGAAGTAACTCTCTATTAAAATAAATTTCTGCTTTAGCTAGTATGGTTCACAGAAAGTCTGTATCATCATTTATGGTAAATTGCGTATATATTCTCAGTAAAGAGTTTGCTAAATGAATACATGTTAATGTAAACAGATGCACAACGATAATTTAATTTCTCTTCCTTGCATCATAAATATTCAGCACATATTCGTATGGATTTTCCATTACAGCTTTAATGTACTTCACATTAATATGATTAATCGCAGTGATGTGCAATACAGACTGTTTAACAACTCACTGAGGTTTAAAAACGTCTGTTAAGCAAGATCGATCATGTTCAACATTGAGAACCAGGCCACGCTTTTTACCCTAGTGAACGCTTCACAGCCCACATTTATGTAGGAAAACACATCTCCGAATAGAGACATTAAAAGTCTTGACTGAAAACATTTGAACAATTAATGGCAAGGGGAAAAAAATGTTCAACAACAGTCAGTGAACCTATAGTGGGGCAAGTTGTCACAATGTGAAGCTACTTATTATTAGCACTGATTTAAAAACTAATGCCTTGGTAGAAATTAAATATCTAAAATAAGAAAGTAAAAAGGCATATTATATCAGTTTTAACTGTATTATACGTAATTTAACAGAAAATGTGTATATATATATATATATATATATATATAGGCGGGCATTTATGGCTGCATTTTAGCCATATTGTAAAGGTTTTATCAGAATCAATGTAACTATAATGGGGTAAGTTGTCACAATGGGAAGCTACTCATTGTTTGCACTAATTTGAAAAGAATACCCTTTGTATTTAAGTAAATATCTTAAGTAAAAAGCATATAAGGCTAATTAATACCAATAAAAGTCTTTTAACTATTATTAATATCTATACTAAATTCATAATGTCTCGCTTTTTACTCAAAAAAAAAAAAAAAATCGGAACGAACATAAAAAAAAAAAAATCCTGGAAAGGATTTCCACCGATTAACTTGCTTTATTTCAGCATTATGCAATTATATTATTCCAATTTAATGTACTTACGTTGGGTCAACTTAATTCATTAAGGTTGATTCAACTTATATGGTTGGACACAGCCTAATTAAATAGTGTCAGTAAATTTAAAAAGGCTCCCTGATATGATTCAGGTATTCAAATTCATATATTCATTCATCCAATGCAATATAATTTT